AAATTAATATCTTATTTATAATCAAGTTAGCTTCGAAGTAATCGATATCTATTAATATATTTTTAAAAATATAAATTTATTTCGCGGTGAATAAAGTAGTTAATATTTTAAATAAACGATATATAAATAAATTATTTAACGTGTTTACTAAGTATACTTTATCGTCTTCTTTTATATCTTTAAAAGAGATTATTTATTTCTTAAATCGAATTTATTCTCGATTTTAATATTATTAATATTAACGTTATCTTTATTATTAATAGTCTAAATCTTCGCTTTTAAAACGATATTCTTTTCTATAAAGATTTAAATTAAGTACTTATAATTACGTTAAATATATTTCTCTTTATCGTAATCGAAATAAATAAGAGTTTTATTAGAAAACTTCTTCTTTATATTCGCTATAATAATAATCTTATAATCGATATAACTCGCTTAGCGAGAATAATATAAAAAGAAAATCTTATTATAATCGCTATAATTATTAATTTAATTATTATCTTTTATAACGTTTACTTTATTTTCTTTATATAAAAAGTATTATTAAGAAGTATTAAATAATTCTTAATTTTTTTAAGATTATTATACGCTTAGTAATAAGATTCTTAAACTTTATTAGCGTATTTAAAAGTTACTTTCTTAATTAATAACTCTTATAAATCGTAATTTAACTTATTAAGTTCGTTATTAAGTCTTATAAGTTCGTTAAAGAATTTATAAAAAGTATTATTATCTATAATTAAAGTATCTAATTAAATATTTATTATTTAAGCGATATTTATCTTTTTAAATATACTATACAAATATTTTAAGATATTCTTTTAAGCGATATATAAATTTAAATTATCGAATAATTATCGAATCTTAATATATATACTAATCTTATCTTTTAGTTAATTAATAATATAATTAATTTTATTTTATTTTATTAAATAATAATTAATATTTACTTAAAGAGTAAAGTATTAAGAAAGATTTAATAGAGGCTTTAATATAATATATAGCTTATAAAAGTCTTAATAGCGTTAACGTATTATATCTAATATACTTATTTAAAAAAAAAAATTTTTAAGTTTTATATTTTAAGCTATAATATATCGCTATAGAGTTATTTATATATTTAAACTTTTTATAGAATATTATAACTTTAAAACTTTATTCTTATTTTTATAATCGTATATAAAAGTAATATATTAATTTTAAAGCTAGTTATAATTTAATATCGTTATAGCGAGAATCTTACTAAGATTTAAAGAGAGATTTTTAAAATTAAGTTATTATAATCGAATTAGTAATTAGAGTTATTATCTTTATTTTTAATTATAGAAATTTATAAATAGTCGAATAGCTTTAATATAGACTTTAAGAATAAAGAAAGAGAAGAAAGTTATTCGCTTTTTTAGTATATATAAGCTTTATAATATAAATATTAACGTTTAAATTAAACTCCTTAGAAAAATAATTTTTTATCTTATTATAAGACGAGAGTTTTTTTTAGCTAGTAAAGATATTAATAGAGAAGTATTATATAATTACTAAAATATTTAACTTATATAATAGAATATCTTTAGAGAATACTCGAGTTAATTTAAGAGAATTTTTAAGAGATTTATCTAAAGATAATTTTAAGAAGTAATTTATCGAAGAGAAATTAAGATTTAATAAGATAATTAAGTATTTAAAGTTTTAATTAAAATAATTAAGATTTAATAGCTAGAAGAAAAAGATATTAGATTTTTAATTAAATATATTCTTAAAGATTATAATAGAATAGATTAAGATATAAGGGCGAGGAATTAGAAATAGTAAGTATATGTTATAAGATAAAGAGTTAAGTAAGAGTAAGTAGAATTAAAAAAGTATTATTAAGAAAAGTAGAAATTTGAGATAAAAGAAGAAGAGAGAGAGCGAGTATAAAGAAGGAGTTAAGAATATATTATAAGATATAAAATAAAAGAAAACTATTTATAAAACTCTTAAAAGTCGTTATTACTTTTCTTTATAATCTTATTTTATAAATCTATTATAAAATCTTATATAATTTATATTTATTTATAAAATAAATAAGTTTAATATTAAATTTAAATTATTCTACTTTTTTTATTTAGTATTAAAATATTAGTAATATTAGTAATAAATTAATAAATAATATTACTAGATTAATTAAGAACTATACTTTAATATATATTATATATTTTATACTATAATAAATATATGAGATTTAAAGTTATATAATTTAAATAGATAACTTTTAATTATATAAATTATTAATTCTTTTTAATTACTAATCGCTTATAAACTCTTTATAATAGAATTTATTAGATATTACGAAGTAAGTAAAGATATTACTAATCGTAAGATTAAAAGAGCGTTAAGCATCTATCGAAGTAGAAGTTTATATCTAAATTACTATATATTCGTAATATTAGAGAATCGAATATAAATTAATAATAGTAATAGTATTTAAATTATAAAACTAAATAATAGCTATATAGAAAAAAGAGTATAAATATACTATAAGAAGTTATAGTAAAGTTCGCTAAGTCGCTAAGTTAAATAAGACTTAGCGCTTCTCTAAACTCGAAGTTCGAAGAAGAGCTATAGATTAAAACTATTAAAAATTATAATAAATAGCTCGATAATACTAGAACTTCATAAACGTATAAATATATATTCTACTTTCTTTTCTATAGTTAATTCTCAGTTCACTTAATAATAGATATATTATTTTATATTCTTAACTAAAACTATAATACTAGAAAAGAATAAATAATAGTAAATTTAATACTTTAATAGAGTAGTATAGATAAGAACTATTATTCGCTATATATATAATATATATAATACTAATATTTATCTACTTTAGCGTCTAGAATTTATAAGAAGACTTTTTTCTTCTACTTTAAGACTATTATAATTTTACATTATAACTACTACTTTTTTTTCTTTCTTTCTTATTTTCTACTGAAATACGATAGATCTTTTCTATTTTCTTTAAGAGCTTCGTATTAGTACTACTCTTAATTTCGCTAACTTCGATAAATCGCCTTAGCACGTATATTATCATTGTAATTACTTCTATATAGTTAAATTCTAGTTATATTTAAATTATTATTATTTTAATCTATTTAAGTTTCTAATAAAGACTTACTATAGATAATAAGATCTAATTCTCTTATTAATCTCTATCGTCTATACTATTAATAGTCTCTCTCTTCTTCTTCTCTTAAATATTCTTTTTATATTATTTATACTTATATACTTACGCTAGTTCTCTTACTTTCTATAGAATATTATTACGCTCTAGATATTAGATCTTAAATAGAGGTTTTCTAGATATAAAGTATAGAAATTTCTCGAAATCGAGCTTTTTAGTCTAGTAGTTAAGGCGCTTTAGAAGTCTAATAATATTAGAATTATAATTAAACTAAGTTAATAGTAGTATATAACGAAGATTTAATTAATAGAGAGTAAATCTATATATAGTAATAAAAGCTATTTATAAATCGTAGTAACTTTATTAAGATACGTTAAACTTAAATAGATCGCTAAGCGTATATTTACGATTATAGAAGTTATTATACTCGTAATAAATAGATATAGTTACTACTATTTATTATTTACTAACTATTAATTATACTCTATCTTATCTAAAACTTAAACTCTTTTTAAAATATAGCGATCGATAGAATAAAGATAGCGTCTACTAGTCGCTATAGAAATATTTTTCTAATTTTCTAATCTAGCGATAATCTTAGAGACTTAGTATTAAACTTGAACTCTACGTAATTATAGTTAATATTCTTATTCTATTATTAATTTAAGTAGTATCGTAATCGAGATCGAAGCTAATTTAAATTCTATCGATCTCGATTATTATAAAAGAAGTATAACACATTAATACTACTCGATTATTCAGGGAAATACATCATTCAGAGAAATGTACCACTCTCAAAATTCGATAAATTCGGGGGCAAGTTCTAGGGGTAATTACCTCGAAAATCACCTTAGATTCTATCTCGCAATTTCGATAAGTTCCTCTTTACGAATATACGCGGTGTTGGTCTATAAACTCGCTATTATAGAAATTAAACATTACATATAATATTCTTTTCAATTCTTTTCAATTCTTTCTAAAATAGTGTTGTCAAATAATGTGTGAAACTTTCGCGTTTGAGCAAGTTTAGGGACAATTTTTCGGGGTGATAGCCCCTAGAGGCACCCCCGGATCTAACGGATTTTAGGGTGGTGCATTTCCCTGAATAACCGAGTAATACGTTTCTCAGCCTTTGCTACAACCCTTACGCCGACGTCCCGAATGTTACGACATTACGCAATCTTGTGTCAGTCATAGATATATGTAGAATCCCTGTGTGATAGATATCATCCATGTTTCTTTTTTCATGGATAAGCATCATCTATACATAGAATGCAACCGTCATTGATCGACGCACCGTTTAATTTAAGTGAGTATAACAAGTGAGAGGATTCCGTCATCATCGCTGGGACAGACACATCGCGAGCCTCTGGGCTATGCCGAGACACGCTCTTGAGCAGACTTCGCGGAATAGTGAAAGATCTCAACCAAGGCATTGGACATGACAGCGCGAAGGCGGATTCATTCCCGATGACCCGTTTCATCTTAACCGAGATATGATATGGAAATCGCCAAGTATTGTGCAGGTCTCCAGAACTGAATTAATTCTGATCGTTGTTGCCAAGCCCTTGTACGATACACACATAGCCTGAGCGAAGACAAGTTTGAGATGTCCAGGCGACCAGGCAATAGACTCACGCCCTCATACTACTGAGACACAGTCTTGCAGATACCTCAAGTGTCTGCATGACGGTCTCCCTAAGACGGACTAAATCTGCTCCATTTCCGAATCTTCGCACCATATATGTAGAAGAGGAACGGGACGGGCACCATTGCGGTGCAAAGAAAGCCGAGTAACGACATAGCCCATGGCACCCCAAGATTGTCGAACTAGAATGTCAGCCTAGTAGTCCATAGAGCGATACCTTGGGTTTGATACCATGTAAGGAGCAAACATGGGGAAGCCAGCAGCCAGAACGCCGCGGAACATAGCGTTGATGGAAATGGCCGAATTGGCGTTCATCTTGTAAACGTCGATCAAGTAATTCAGTCCCTTTCAGGACAAAATGAGGTCAGCCTCTAGTGAGCAGTCTTTCGTGCGAGTAGTGTCTTTCAAGGAATCTCAAACGAGCGAAGAAGCATGTTGTGGATGAGCTGGGCAGGCGACCTACCTGCAAGAAGACTAGTATAATTCCACAACCGAGGAAGATGCCCGAAATCACTTGCGGTACCCAGGTGATGTCTGGATCAGATGTCCCTGAAGATAGCATCAACGTATGCTATAAGCTGAGAGACTAGATGCTTAAGCGTTGAGGACTCACATCCAAACCAAAACATTCCTATTGCTAGGAAGAGGCTACCGAGCATCATAGGTATCAAACGCTCCTCAGGTACTTCACCATGGATCTGCAGCCTCCGCTGCATGCGGGTCTTCGTATGGAAGATGATAATTGCAACACCCACGAGTACACCTGCGGTAACGGCAAGGAACGGAAGAGCGCCCACTCCGATGTTCCAGCCACGGTGCTGCTCAAATGCAATAGGATAAGCCTCAAAACACAGGTATAAAAAGGCAAAGACAAATCCCATGTGGAGGGTAATGAGGGCGAGTATAGGTTCTTGCGCAATCATAATCCACGGCTTTAGTATGTATTTTCGAGAAAGATCTCTCAAATTGATCGGCTTCCTGTTCGCCTCTGCCTGAATAGCCACATTCCGATTTTCAAGAAGGGTCTGCTTCGTACGTCGAGATAAGAGGACGGGGCTGTAGGTCTCAGGGACAGTGAAGAAGTATAGCAGCACAGAGGATATGCCCAATATCAGAAGAAGCCATTGTGTCCAACGCCAGCCCAGATGCGACATGGTGACAAAGCCGCCAACTGCATCACAGTCAGCTGCGCTGTGGCATTAGCTACCCCCTTCTTTATTGCGAATAGCTTACCAATAGGTCCGAGCACAGGACCCAGAAAAGTCGCGCTCGCGAATCCAGCGACCGCGATTCCTCGAGGGAGAGTATCATAAAGATCAGCGAGGCCGCCTCCTGCCTTGGATTTCTGGTCAACAAGCTCCACATTGACGCCTACTGTACAGCACTCACAATTGCTAGCGGTGCAGACGCAAAGACTCCGCTAATGAAGCGACAAGTGAAGATCGTTGCCGGGTTCTGTGCTCTAGCGACTGGAATCGTGAAGATAGCAAACATAAACATGCCAACACTGAGAGGATTTCTGCGACCGAGAACCTCAGACGCAGGTCCGAAGACCGTTGGGCCAAACGCAAAGCCTAGCACGTATAAAGCGGTCGCAAGAATAGAGACTTCGCTTGATATTCCAAACTCTGTGGACAAAACCTGGTTTGCAGGGCTGAGGATCGATGATGCAAATGTGGCGAGGAAGGTCAGCATCGCCAGGTTGCCGGTAATATACACCTTTCTCGTCGTAGAGAATTTTCTTGGGTTTCGCTGATGCAGTCAAAGGTTAGCACGCCGACGTGCAACATCGTAGGAGGAGTACAGAAACTTACCGAATCGTCAGGGCCATCCCATTCCATCGCATTCACATTCTTCTTCTTTTCCTTGTCCTCGCCTGGACCACATTTATCGTTTCCTGAATTAGATGACTGGCGTACTTGTTCTTCATTCACGAATATTTGGTCGTGGTTGCTGGTGTCTCCATCCTGGTTAGTGCTAGACATAGTATTTTCGCAGCTAGAGTGCTCAGAGGATGATTTGAGAGCTTGCTCAATTGATGGGATGCTCTTAACGCAGAGCGGATCGCATAAGAGTAGATTATGTTGATGGCGAAGGTACCAGGCCAATTCCCATGCGTGCAGCGAAGGAAGGACTTGGGAAGGGTACTGTTGTATTTGTACGGCTGCTCGGGCATGGATTTCTGTAGTATTTGTATTAGGTAGGTTTTGCAAAGATTCTGAAGACAAATTTGAAGGATTATTAAAGATTATTGAGATTAAGGCTAGCCGAAAAAGGCTAGCTTTCGCTTGAAGCGAGTCGAATAAGACTAACTTTCGCAATCACGTGACTCCGCATTTGCGCGCGAACGTCTACATATATACATTACTTTATTATATTAAAATATTATTTATTATTAATTATCTTATAGCTATTTTTCTAGAAGTACGCTGTAAAGAATAACGATAAGAATTTCTTCTTATACTCTATTACTATATATATTATAGCTCTATAGCGTCTACGTTAGATATATTAAATAGAGTTATTATAATTATATATTTTATCTTTATAATATTAAGCGTTTAACTAAGATCTAGATATTAAGAATAATCTATAATTTAAGAGAAATATTCGTCTTATAAAAGAGAAAGTTCGTCGTCTTACGTTACTTCTTAATATCGAATTAGTTTACTATCGCTATTATTTTTAATATCTTTTAGAAGTTACTCTTTATATCGTCTACTATAAACTCTTATAGTCTAATCGCTACTTTAATATAATATATAAATTCGATAGATTTATAATATAAATTAATATTATCTATAACGATATAATTATTTATTTTTCTTAACGATATCGATTTATACTTCGTTAATATCCCCTCTATATTAAAAAAAAAATAAAGTATTTTACGAAGATTTTAAATAAATATAGAGGCTATAAAGTTATATAAATATTTATAGATAAAATATTTCGAGACTTTTATTATTTAAAGTATATATAGTAGATAAATTATTCTAATTATAAAGAATTTAATCTTATTAACAGAGCGTAGTAAGTTTAGACGATATACTTTTTAGTCTTATTAATCTATATCTTAATTTTAATAATAATAATAAGTTACTTACTAAGTTAGATATTCTATAAAAGATTTAAAAGTTCTAATCTATAGAGAATAAAGAGTTATTTCTTTTTAATAATTAGATACATCTACAAATCTAAAAAATTAATTTTCGTACGATTTTCGCCGGGTCCGTATAATTAGCATGATTTAGCCTATTTAGTAGACTTTATCTATATCTAAATCCTTTTTACTAGTTCTATTAATTTAATAACTTTAAAAATTTTTAGTAACTTTAAAATTTTTACGTAATATACTTTAATATACTCTAAGTATTATTCTATATATATATAATATTAATATATATTATTATTAATATACGTATTATTATACGCTATATTAGAGTATTACTTACGCGATTAATTTTATTAAATCGTTTAATTTCGTAGTTAAATTTAAGTTAACGTTGATACTTATTATCGTAGAATCTTACCGTCGTAACGTCGATTATTAAAACTTTTCTTTTTTTATACGTATTATTATTAAATTAATAGAATTAACGAAAAAGATTAAAACAGTTACTGAATCGGTGAAATTTAGACGAATTCTAATCAGATTTACTAATTGGACGGATTTTATAATTTCCGCGATACACGCGCGATCAGCAATTTCAAATTTTATAGGAACTTTTCAGATTTGCAGATGTATATAAAGTTATAAAGAAAATTATAAATTTATTTAAAGATAATAAATAAACGATATTAGAGTCGAAAGTCTTCTTTAATAACGCTATTTCTAGTATTTAAATTAGTATCGAAATAATCTTTAAAAACGTATAGTAAATATAAATAATAAATATATTTAAGATATAGTTAAGAGTCGAAGCTTCGTTAATAACGATATACTATTTAATATCTATATTACTCGCTAATTATCTTATATATATTAAGGGAAATACTATAAGTAGTCGATTTCTAACGAGATTATTGACGCTAAAAGAGTATTTAAAAGTAATATTATAATTATAGATTTTAATTAAGTTAATAGTTATTTATTTACGCGATTAATTTATATAATATTCTTCTTCTATTCGCTTAAGATCTTCTATAAATAAATAGTATAATAAGTATAAAATTAGTAGTAATGAGAGAGTAATACTATTACGATTAAGTATTTATATAATATTTATATTTAAAGAAGATAAAGAAGCTAAAAAAGTTACGATTAGATAAACTTACTTAAAGCTACTATATTATCTAGATATATATATTCTATATATAAAAATATCTTTTAAAGCCTTAAAATATATATATATAATAACGCGTAAAGTTATTTTTAAATACTTAATATTTAATAATCTTTATATTAAATTACTTAATTAATAATCTTTTATATTACTCTTTTCTTTTTAATTAATCTTCTTAGTAACTATCTTCTTAGTAACTATCTTTTTAGTAATAACTATCTTTTTAGTAGTAACTATCTTCTCAGCAGCTAACTTCTTAGCAGCTATCTTCTTAGTAACTATCTTCTTAGTATTTATCTTCTTAATAATTATCTTCTTAAAAACTATCTTCTTAATCTTCTTATTATTAATTACTCTTAGAAATATAATTTTAAGTCTATTAAAGCGAGTATTAATAGTATTAAATAAGCTACTTTAAGATTAATTTATTATTAATATTTTAAAACGTTTCTTCTTAAGTCTCTTTTCTTTCGCTTTTTTACGAGCTTTCTTCTTTTTATTTAAAGCGAGTCTTTATTTAACTATATTCTTCGTATTCTTATTATAATATATTATTTAAATAGATATCGTAGCTATATTATTCTTACTATTCTTCGTTTATATAGCTCTATTATATCTAAACGTCTTATAATCGAGTTCTTTTTTCTCTTTTTTTAATCTTATTAAATATAATCTTATACTTCTTTATCTTCTCTTTTTTTTTACTTATTCTCTTAATTATTAAAATAACTTCTTTATTAAGCTTTATATTAATTATTAAAATTATTAATATAGATATAATAGACGTAAGATCTTAAGAGATAACTGTGAATTTAAAATAGACTAGCGTAGCGACTTACTAAGTACTTATTTCTTCTTCTTTATTAAATACTTATATAAAGAATATTAATTCTTATCTATAACTAAGTATAATTATTATATCATTTTTCTTCTTTTTCTATATCGCTTATTAATTATTATCTATTCTTAACTCTTATTAATAATTCTTATTCTTTAAATTATATATTATAATCTCTCTTATCTATTTATCTATAATAATAGTTTAATTATTCTCTTACTTAATATCTTCTATTATATCTTAATCTTCTATCTCTTTATCTCTCTTCTTAATAAGATTATATATCTTTTAATTTATATTCTTATATAAATATTCTCTTCTTACTTTTATCTAAAAATCGAGTTTAATCGTATTTTAAAAATTAATCGCTTTATTCTTAATATTATAACTATTCTTTTAATTAATATATTTATTAACTAATATTATATATTCCTTCTCTATAAGATTTAACCTTCGCGATATTATTTTCCTCTATTTTAATTAATTCTCTTAATCTTTTATCGAGTCTTATACTTTCGAGAGTATACGTAAGAGAGAATTACGTCGTTTTCGTTCTTTCTACTATAATAAAGATATATTACGCTCGCTTATAGTAATATTAAAAGAATATTTAATTAAAAGATAATATATCGATTTATCTTCTATACGTATAGAGAGTTCTTTATATTCTAACGAGAATATATTATTATAATTTTAGTTATTAGTAGAAAAGTTCTATAACTCTAAAGCGTATTGACTATCTCTTAATATAGATATAGATATTTAAAATTACTTAAGTAAAGTATTATTACGTAGATTAAGATTTAATTACTAACTCTTATAATAGTAAAGCGATTAAGACTACTATTAACTCTAAGATAGATTAATATAATAAATTTATCTTCGAGTTATTTAATAGACTTCTTAAGAGGCGATAAGAGAATATAAGAAGAAGACTATATAGCCGCGTAAGTAATATATACATCGCGATTATTTTAATGTTTTTTTCTAACTTTTTTTATATATATTTATTTTCGATATATTAACTACGCTAGTTTTTCTATAGAAACTACTATTAATTAATTAACTTCTTTAAAGTCTTTATATATATTTTAAAGACTTTAGAATATTTATAAAGCTATAGTTAAGTAAATAGTATAAGATATAATAATTACTTGATAGGGCTAGACTATATTCGAAATCTAGCCGTATATAGGCAAAATGTGATCTTTAGAATCTTTACAGACCCTATCTATTGCTAACTCGACTGCGCACCGCACTCAATCTTATGGTTTCGTGGGCAGTCTGTTGGAAAATGTGGCAAACAGCCCGGTGATACTAGTGGCTTGGCAAGCGCACAAACATGTATTCTACTTTCTCCTTCATAGTTGCTCTTTAGTCCACTTGATGATAGGTACATCATCCCATAATTCCAACACAGTCTATAGGAGATTTCTGTGAGGACAACAAAGGTTATATATAATAAGCAGAGATAAGATTTTGCTCAAACTATTGGATACTTATATAATTTGGTGGGGTAAAGGGGAAAAGGAAAGCCAGGATTCTGATGGCAGCAGACAAAGAGACCGCCTGCGGAGGGCGGCACCATAAGTGCTAGACAGCGTTTAAAAGTTCCAAACCTACCTAATCGCCACGTGTTACAGGCGGATCCGAGTAGATGATCCAGTAATACTGCCAATATAAGAGACTCTATGCTACATAGTGGTTTCGAACATTTAAAGGCTGTGCCTACTTTTACAGAAGATACTATCCCTTACTATGGAAGGTAGTATTAAATAATTCAAGCCCCGAAAAGTAAGCGGAGAGGGTGACTTTTTATTCACCAAGGTAGGTAGGGCTAGGGCTATATGTCGCCGAAAATTAAAGGGAGCGTGGCTACGCGCGGTTGCGGAAGTTTACGTAGATTATTCTCGATCATCATTTCGCAAAGCTAAAAGCCGCCCAAAACTTTGCGATGCTGATTTTTCAATCGAAACTCGTCATAGAGATAATGCATTGTCAATGTTTGCAGACGTGCAGTCTTGTTTCGGACGTTATGCCCCGGCCCCGCGCTTGGGAGTAGTAGACCGACTAATCAATACCGCTTTCCACCTCTCCGCGAAGGACAGACCTCACGTATAAATTAGAGATCGCGGACCCTTTTATTTCCCGGTCAAAATACCCCAGTCGCCCTCGGCCCAGACGAGATGAAGCTTCCAGTGCTTAATCTTCCACAGCCCGTCCTTGTCGTCCTCAAGCAGGTCGAGGGAGTACAAGCTCCCAGTCAGGAGACGCGGTGCGCCCGGCTCGGTACCTTGCTTGCTGCGGTAGTGCTGCGCCAGCGCGGAGGCGGTCATCGAGGCCGTGGGGGTGCCCGCCCCGACGTCGACGCGGACGTTGGACATGAAATGGGTGGTGTCGAGCTTGGAGATGGAGTCGTAGCAGCCGGTGGTGATGGCGTCGAGGCCGGACATGACGGTGCCGTTGAGGTCGAAGCTCGCGTCGTGGGTGAAGGCGGAATCGAAGAGGTGCTTGTTGGCGGTGTCGAGGCCGAGGACGCAGCGGTATAGGGCGTCGCTGATGGCCTCGCGGACTTGAAGGGAGGCGAGAGAGCTTGGGTATGCCATTTCTGATCGATGTAAGGCTGTTGGGGGGGTTTTTTTCCCCCTCTTAGTTGAATGATAGCCCGTGTTAAGAATGGTTGGATCCTTTTTATCTCCGTGTCTCTTGCAGATCTTTTTTGATTTCTCAGCGACGGAAGCACGGAAGTGATATCCGTTGCATAAAGGGATGTTGTGGCACTTACCGTAAAGGAGGGAATCCCGCACGGCCCCCTGGCTTTTCTTACGCCGGCTGTCAGAAAGCGGTGACGTTTAGAAGCTTCGCGATCGTTAAGATGAACTATTCTAGCGTCATAAATATAGCGTCGGAGAACACGATACCTGCGGCTTCTAGTATTCGGAGATTAGGAGAAAAGAAAAGGAAAATGAAACAGCGGTCAAGTCGCTTTGACGTGTCGTCACTCCTTCCTAAAAGAGTAATCGGAGCCAGAGACTGCAGATTGGACCCCACTTGTCCATTCTGCCTGGTTTCGCCTCCTTTGGCCGGACCCCCACTTGTCTTTCCCTTGCCCGATTCTCCGATGACTAGCTCTACGGATGATGATGATGATGATGATGATGATGATGGCTAAGAGTCTTACGTCATTCAAAGAATCACGGCCGAGAAAATATCATTGACAGGACAAGCAAGTAATAGACAGGGTCTCACGTAGACGTTTCTGGTGGCTGGTGTAAGATAGTGCTACTCTTCCATACCCCTCTTCTTGCAGCCTTTCTGCGTCGTCCTCGATTCTATTCATACACATCATCTTCGTCTCTCATCGTCCGCTCTGTCTTGTTTCAACATCAATCGGACCCATCCAACTGCTATTAGACGTGTTGCAGGGGCGCAGCAATGGCGGAGGCGGACATCAAGTGGGTGAAGCCGGTGGCGCTCGTAGGGGGATTCGCTGGTCTGGTGAGTCTGTCCGACTCCTTGCTGGGATATGCCATTGAGTGCAGGGCAAGTGGGTCGTCTACCTCGTGTCCAAGGCCATCGACGCCATTTATTTCAACGCTTTGCGTCACGTCCCGGGCCCCAAGCTGAATGCTCTCTCAATGATCCCGTATGCGAGACATCTGCTGGCCGGAACGACGGTCGAAAATACCGTGAAACTTCATGAGAAGTACGGCGAAATGGTTAGAATCTCGCCGAACGAGGTGTCTTTCATTTCTGCGGAGACAGCGTTTCCAGACATCTACGGTATGTTATCTGAAGCGAAAAAAGGGGGGAGGCGGCGGGAATGGAGTTTGGCCAGGACCGTACATGACCTTTGCAGGATTCCGCACTGGCAAGCTCAAGGGTCATTTGAATATGGCAAAGGTGAGCGCGGGATGTCATTACGGTTAAGCCATGATTGACGAGAATTGTTAGGACCCTGTGTGGTACGTCAAACCGGAGAATGGAGCTCCTGCCATCTTGCAAGCAAATGACGAAGATCACTCGAGAGGTGTGTTCTTGTGCAAGTATGTAGAGACAACAAGACGTTCCGTTTGACTTTTTCCGCCATTGGGAACAGGTCGTCGCGTACTTGCCCATGCGTTTAGTGAGAGAGCACTTATGGCACAAGAACCGCTTCTCCAACGCTATGTTGGTCAACTTGTCGACGGGTTGAAGGAGGTCACATCGGCAAGCAATGACGCGGTCGACATGGTCAGATGGTACAACTGGTAGGTTGTCTTATCCGCAATCTATGTGCCCGATCTGACAAATGAAAGGACAACCTTTGATGTGATAGCTGATTTGATGTTCGGTATATTTTAAACCTTCTGACGCTCTAAAATTGGGGGCTACTGGCTGATGGTAACCACTTCCCTAGGTGAATCTTTTGGATGCTTGCAGGATCTTTCAACACACAAATACGTCGCACTTCTTTTCGAGTCTCTCACGTCGTTGAGAATGATATATGTCCTCACATACTATCCTTGGCTGAAGTACTTTGGCAACTTTGTTATCGACAACAAAATCCTTCAGAAACGGAAGGATTATCTGGTACTTGTCGTTGGTCCCTGATGCATCCACGGCTAGATTTTTAACGAGCGCAGGCTTGGATTTCTAGCCAGGTGAAAAAACGAACCGAGCGCGACACCGTACGACCCGATTTCATGACTCATATCCTGGCGAACAACGGGAGTAAAGGGACCGCGCTGTCCCAGAAGGAGATTGACTCAAATGCGGGTCTAATGATTACTGCTGGTTCCGAAACGACCGCAACGGTACTCAGCGGCGCAACATGGTTACTGCTAACCAACCCAAACGTGATGCAGAAAGTCAAAGACGAGATTCGAAGCAAGTTCGAAAGCTATGATGATATCACGCTTAGTCGCGTCAACGAGATTCCATATACGATCGCCTTTCTGTCTGAAGCACTTAGACTCTTCCCTCCCATCCCGGTCGGATTCGCACGGAGGGTGGCCAAAGGCGACGCGTTTGTCAGTGGCTACTTCGTACCGGAGGGGACCCTGGTGTCTGTCAGTCACTTCGCCGCCTACCATTCCGCGCAGAACTTCAAGGACCCTGGAGCTGTCGTGCCAGAGAGATGGTGGGTCTGCCAAGTCCTCGCGTTCTCCGTGTGAAAGGCTGATGATAACTTAGGCTGGGTGATGAAATGTACGCCGCCGACAAGAAGAGCGCCTTCCAGCCTTTCAGCTTCGGTCCGCGCAGTTGCTTGGGCCGGAACCTGGCCTTGGCCGAAATGCGCCTCATCCTGGCCAAGATCGTCTGGTCCTTCGACCTCGAGCTGCAGCCCGGGAGCAGAGACTGGCTGCGGCGGTGCAGGGTGATGCGGCTCTGGCAGAAGCCCGAGTTGGCCGTGAGGGTCAAGGAGGTCGAGCGGAGTTAAGATGTCAGATGGCCATCACTTGACTATGGGTTCAGCGTGGGCGATTCCTGGATTCCTACGGAAGGGGAGAAACGGATATGGAGTCGTAGCTCCAGACAATTAGACATTAAAACCTGTCCCGTACACCCACAAAGATCTTGCAAGCTTTGTTATATCCACGGCATTCATCCTTCTCACTAGAATTAGACACGATAACTCATGGAATCTTCAAAAAGGGGGCATCTTCTTCTCGCGTGGACGATTGATCCCTAGATTCTCCCACGGGTCTTCAATTTCCAAAAAGAAAACCCCCCCTGGGGTGCACGAAAGCCAAGTTCAATTCTACATTTGCAGGTCACAGTAAACACCCCCCCCCACCCGGCTCGCACACCCTTTTTTCTTTCTTTTTTTTTTGGGACGCCGCTCGGCCGGTTATTTTTTCTCACTCTTCTGAGTCAGTCTCCAGCAAAATCGAGATCTGTTCGTTCTCAAGGCTATCGGTCAATGCCATTTGAAAAAAAAACCCCCCTTTGGCCCGCGGAGAAGACAGCGGGCCTAAAGGTCAAAGGGGGCACGTCGAAAAAGGGTATTTTATAGGTACGAAAAAATAATAATTTTTTTTTGGCCCCAAATAAGACGCCAGAGTTTTTTAGTCTTTTGGGTGGGGGGTGGGGGTTTTCTCTTTCTAGCAAAGAAGCCATACGTTTTGAATCGTTTGCTACTGAGTACACTACGAAGGCTCGTAAAACGTATCGCTCAGCTTCCCAGGCCGCGGCCCCCCTTCCTTCGATCTCCCACCCGCCCCGCGTTCTTCCCACCCAAGAAAAAAAGCCCGCAAGGTCCGCGAACCCGACTTATATCAACTTGGCTGGCTTTCCCGTTCCGTATCCGCCGGCAGCGAGTAGTCCCGATAGAACTTTTTGTAGATGTGCTGTGAGACGGTCTCGCCGCTGCGGTCGTGCGGATCCAGCGGGTTCGTGGCCTCGAGATCGCCGTGCCAGAACGCCGGCACTGCGAAGCGCTCACCGCCGGCCTTGTTGATGACCCGGTGAACCGTGCTCTTGTACTCGCCGCCGGTCCACTTCTGCACCATATCCCCCAGGTTGATGACGAACTTGTCCTCGACGGCGGGGATCAGGAGCCATTGCTTCGTCGCCGCGTGCCAGACCTCGAGGCCGTCTTTGCCGGGGTCTTGAAGGAGGACGGTGATGCCGCCGTAGTCGGTGTGTTGGCCGGAGCCGAACTGCCGTGGGTCGGTGAAAGTATGCTCCGGGTAGCGGAGGAGCTTGAGGAACCTGCCGCAGGGGGGTTCAGTCAGTCTATACTAAGGCGACGTCGGAGTGGTGCTCGTTACATGGCGACGTCGTTGGTGAACCTGTTCAGGATGGAGGCTTGGTGGCCTAGACTGACGACGAGCACCTCCCAGACCTTGCGCCCGAGATTCAAGATGTTGTCATAGTACTCCAGTACGGGTTCGCGGAACTCGCTGTCCGCGAGGTCTTTGGGCCAGACGTTGGGACCCTTGAGGAAGCCAACTTGATCCATGGGCAAATGTTTCCCCACGAAAAATCCCTTCATGGTGTCAGCGGGATTCACAAGAGGGTCGCCACGACAGTACTTCTTTCTGGTCCGGCAAGACATCCTCCCTTGGCCTCTGGGAGCCCGGCCCCTCATACCCACGGCGCCATGAGTTCTTGTAGAGTGAAAGCTCGGTTTTTGATTCGTTTGGCAGCTCGAAGAAGGTCCTGCAGGCGGCGAGCACGCGCCGTTGACTCGTCACTGGTACGCCATGCCCGACGATCTGGAGGAATCCATGCTCCAGACAAGCTGTCCTTACTTTCGCAACCAATTCATCTTTGCTGGTTGGAGTGGTGGGTTCAAAGTACTCGCGAAGATCGACGGTCGGGATGTAGGCTTCCGGGTTGGCCATGGTGGTTTTCACAGCAGATAGCTGGCTCTGAAGTTGGTCGACGAAGATGCGTCAATAGCTCAAGTATGAGTGAGCTGTTCGCAGTCAAAATACTCTTTACTTTATGAAAGTATATAATAGTAATGTTTAAATATTATCTCTTGAGACCTACCCGAAAGTTTAGTTATTCTATCAAGAATTGATTCCCGTTTTTTTTTTTCAGTCAAAATATCATAATCTTTTGCGGAGGATCTGCGCGAAAATTGGTTAGGCTAAGACTTTCGTATATTCTACGTATAGGTATATTCTTCTAGTAACTAAAGTCTTAGTATATTTAAGTATGTAGAAGTTGAAATATGGGGGGTGCGATTCAGTAAAAAGATTCTGCCGTACTCGTAATCCTTCCGTGTCTGTGGATCTCTATCGCACCAATCGTGGAGCGCGGATAGGTTGAGCGGCTCAAGCGGACCTGGTGGTGGTTTCTAGATCAATGCCCCCACGTATGCTCGAAGACAGAAGAGAAACCGTCCTCCTCACTTGACGTGTAGAAAGAAGATCGACAGCATGGAGAAGAAGGAAGCTACCATCCGGCCGATAGCGGAGTGAGCGATTCACAACCGAGTTGCGCCATTGGTGGTGAAGATATCGCGCTGGGTACAGACCGTGAGGTTGATTGCGCAGATTGCGCAGTGTAGGAGTCGTTGCTACACTCCCACGTTCAGCCTCGCCGGACTTGGTTATGTACTTTAGTCATGCCGATCGGGAATATGCAATGCAACCTCCGCGTCAGATTTCAACAGCCACCATAGCGAATGACCGTCGGCACATTGGACACATGCACATGGTAATGTTGAACAATCCGGCGAGTGCCGCATTGATGTGTTGGGCCAATTCGAGATCATGGATCAGAAGCCAACGGATACGCCATTCCATTGTTGACCGTTACACCCGAAGGATTGAGACTTGATGTCGGAGAATTCTAGTGCTAGGACAACTATGTAAGAAACTAGCTACATGAACGATCTGCATTGAGACAAAGATACGCAGTTGAAATGAAAAGTGGACCGTCGCCATATACGCAATTTTCGTTGCTGTGCATCGGATAGCACAGAATCTGAGAGCTAGGATGCTATCGCTGAGTAAGAGGCTCTTCGCACTCCGGCAAGCCATAGATACGGGACGCCTGGATCTCCGCCATCCCCGCGACTTTTGGCGTTCTATCCAGGCTCCAGCCGGCTCTCCGGACGCTGAACGCTTGGGTTTCTGCCGTCTCAGCTTATCTTTACGTCCTTGTCAATGCCACACCGAAATTTGCCCCCTGTCCTGTCTCTGTAGGGGGCGGTCAGGCAAAATGAGGTGGGTGGCACAATGGTCTTTCGCGGTCGGAAGCTTCCACCTAGACAATTGAAGGTCTCTTGCAAACCGATCTGGCAGGTAGATGCCGTTGGATAACGCATTTCATTGCCTTGCAAGATTGTTCATTGTTCGACCAGCAACTTTGAGCTCGGACGCCAGGAACCTCGTACTCCAGACTACTGTAGCCTAAGAATTACGGAACATTTATAATACATACTTTACTAGAAGCATTGTAACTCCTCAATGGCGAAGTCATTACCATTCACTTAATATACCATATACTTGACTCTAAAGTTAGAATCAGTACGTTGTATATCCAAACAAGAAGACAATATGCGCTATTCAAGTTCTATTGCTCTTCAAACGGGATAGACTAGCTTCCGCCCGGACGGCGCTTGCTCGCGGATGATGTTCACTCCATCTATCATCCCATTCCAGCCTCCCGTCATCACTTGAATAGGATGTGTATCAATCTTGCCCTGATCTAGAAGTGCCTGCACGTCGGCAGTCAATTTTGCTCCAAACTTCCGGTCCTCTGGATTTGCATCTCGCCCATACTCGCCGTCCAGGTTGACTTTGCGCCCGAAGACCGTCAGCGCTAACAGCCATGATGGTTCGACTGTCAATGGTCGCGCTGATGTGATGGCCTCGTGAAACGGTTCGACAGTGACATAGCGTCCGCCCGCCCGCCCAATGGCGCTGTAGCACAGCTGGGTGGTATCAGCAGCCGCTACGCAGTCCAACGCGTACGCCAAGGTGTTGCGCGTATAAGCACGGATGTCTGCAGAGCATTCTGGGCTGCTGTAATCGAAGACCTCTTCGGCGCCAAAGCGGCGGCAGAGCCCGAAGTTGGACCGCGAGCAGGTGGCGATGGGGCGAAGACCAGCGCTGAAGGGAGGGATGCTAATTAGTAACACGATACGAGGCCAGTGTTGAAAGGGCATACAGTTTGAGTAATTGAATGGCACGAGTGCCAGTAGCTGTGCTACCACCCGCAATAAGCACAAACTCAGATATGAAGGGATCTAATGTGCCAGGCGGATCCAGCGATGCCGGTACTTGAAGTTCTCGAAAGATCCCCAGTCCCGCGGTGAACAGGCCCAGGCCTATTGTCGACGCCTCTTCAAAGCTCAACCCGTCTGGGACCTTGAGCAGTAGGTCGGCAGAAGCAGCGACGTATTCGGCGAACGCGCCCACGTCAGGTAGCAATGGGTTCATGCCGTGGACGAAGCCTGCCACATGGTCTTCAACTTTCAGATGCGCAGGCGTATCTTTTCCCAGCGCTACGATAGTTCCGGCGAAGTCATAGCCGTGGATCGCTCCAGGCGCCGGACTGTAGTCGAGCATTTTGGCGTCGACCGGGTTGATGGCGACGGCGGCAGTCCTGATCATGGCTACGTCCGGGCCTAGGATTGGCACGGAGGCATCGCGGCGTACACTGAGCTTCCCGGCACCGTCAGCTACAACGGCCGTCTGCTTGGCAGGTAGGGAAAATTGGGCAGAAGGCATAACTATGTGAGTAAAAGAAAGGCCCAAAAAGAAGATGTCTCGGGCTTTGAGCGGCTTAGCATGCCTTGTATACTCATAGACAAGGCTAAAAGTAAATGACTTAGAGATAATGTATACTGCAGATCTTTCGCACACCGGTGTCAATGTTACATATACTTTTCCATCAACTTGTCGAGTGGTTCAAGCGCACATCTCGCTCGGCTCGACCGGGTGGGGGTGGCTTTGTCGTTCTGGAGGGCTCTTCGGACATCCAATTAGCGACTTTGCATGGGGCTTTTTGATGGTGTAAATATGGTTATTTTACAACATGCGTGGTTTTTTTTTCCAACGTTTCGACTCACCTTGTTTCGTAATACCTTCGTCGAGTCTTCATTATAACGTATCGCTGCGTTCGTAAAGGCTGCTCGAGAGAGTATCTTGCCGTAGCCCAGCGGAGTTCCGATATCGCTGTCTCATCTCAAGTGGATCTTGTCGCTATCTTGGCGGGTCGGCGAGGCTGTCGGATCCGAATACCATATCAGAATGAGCGGTGTGGCAATCGATAAATGCCATGCATGAGACGGCCGCAAAAAGCGACTAATCGGAATCATGACGCAGACACCCCCCTCATAGCCCGCCGACAACCATGGCAAGGTCGAGGTAGACTCTGGGGACCACGATGTCAGACTTTGCGTACTCCACCGCAATCTCACATACGCCGCCATATCGTGATACATGGTAAGGCCTTATCATTATGATTATTGCAAGCCTCAACCTCGATAAGAATCTACAAAAGCAGAAACTTTGGGTTACGTCGTAGAGCTAATTGAAGTGGGCAATAGCCGTTTACGCACCTCATTTTCTTCGAGCTACGCCATGCATGAACCCTACTTTTGATGTCGATGTAAGGCGCAAATTGAGTCCGCAGCCAAAATGATTGACGTAAACTTGACGGATGAAGAAGGGATGGGCTTTCGGCGATTCCCACGAATTCATGATACCGGTGGCGTTTTATTAAGGCGAAAATGTAAAGACGCAAGATAGAACATCTGGACTCATTTAATCAGACTCAAGTGATAGATTGCTTTTCTGATGTGCACCTTATACTGTTCCGCATTCACGACGTTCAGCAAATCGCTTCGATTAATTTTAAACCAAATTGAGTTTGAATTATGATATCCCAACAGCCTGAACCAACAGCTGTCGTGGGAAGCGGTTGCCGCTTCCCAGGCAGCTCAAGCTCCCCCTCATCGTTATGGGCGCTCTTGAAGAACCCCAGGGATGTATCGCGAGAGATACCCGATGACAGATTTGAATTGCAAGGCTACTACCATCCAGATGGCTCACACCATGGAACGACTAACGTACAGCGCTCATATACATTGGATGAGGACGTGCGTGTGTTTGACGCAACTTTCTTCAACATCAGCCCTAACGAAGCGGACTCGATCGATCCACAGCAGCGTTTGCTGATGGAAGTGGTGTATGAAGCTCTCGAAGCCGGCGGACATTCTATGGAAGGTCTCCGCGGCTCTGATACAGCCGTGTACGTCGGTACCATGTCCGTCGACTACAACGATATCCTCATCAGGGACATCGAAAGCATGCCTACTTACTTTTCTACGGGCACTTCACGCGCTATCCTCTCGAATCGAATCTCCTACTTCTTCGATTGGCATGGACCTTCCATGACAATCGACACAGCCTGCTCCTCGAGTATAGTTGCCTTGCATCAAGGCATTCGGTCATTGCGTACGGGCGAGTCGCGCGTAGCGATCGTCGGCGGCACAGAACTACTCTTAGGGCCAGGTTCGTTTCCAAGAGCTGATCACGCTCAATGGATACGTAACGATGTCCTAGCTAACTGGTGCAGAACAATTCGTGGGCGAAAGTAAGATGAATTTGCTCTCGCCCACTGGCCGTTCACGAATGTGGGATGCCGGAGCAGACGGATATGCGCGAGGCGACGGCATTGCAGCGCTTGTCTTGAAGAACTTGAGGGATGCCATTGCTGATGGTGACCACATCGAGTGCCTTATTCGTGAGACAGGAGTCAATCAAGACGGAAGATCCGCCGGCTTGACAGTCCCCAGCTCCGAAGCTCAGGCAAAACTTATAAGAGGAACTTACGCCAGAGCAGGTTTGGATATCTCCAGCCCCCAGGACTGGCCACAGTTCTTCGAGGCCCATGGTACAGGCACCAAGGTCGGTGATCCCCGTGAGGCTGCAGCTATCAACGAGTGCTTTGGTAGTCAGTCCGTAAACGGGAATCCTCTTTACGTTGGATCAATAAAGACTATTATCGGTCATACCGAGGGTACTGCCGGGCTAGCTGGCGTACTTAAGGCTTCACTGGCTATACAACACGGCATAATACCCCCAAACATGCTTCTTAATCGCCTAAACCCCGACATCGAGCAGTACTATGGCAATTTGCACGTTCCAACTGCCGCGACACAATGGCCCACATTACCAGAAGGAGTCCCACGACGAGTGAGTGTGAATAGCTTTGGTCCGTAAAGTTGCCCGACATCCGACGCGACCTGAGTCTGTGCTAACATATTGCTCTTATCAACAGGGTTCGGGGGCACCAATGGACACGCAATCCTCGAGAGTTACCAGCCTTCAACAATCACGCCCGAATGCAAGGTTACGCCATTTACTCCTTACGTTTTCTCCGCGGCCACAGGTGAGTCTCTGGTGGAGCTCTTGCAAATTTATCGGGACTTCTTGAAACTGAATAATGTCATCAACCTTGGTGACCTTGCCTGGACGCTCCAGTCGCGCAGATCCGCGCTCCCTTTTAAGACCGCCTTTTCAGCGTCCGATCCTGAAGAACTTGTCTCCAAGATTGAGGAAAAGCTTGAAAAAAACAAAGAATCTCCCGGAGATAGCATCGGCATTCGATCAGCTCCTGCTCAGCCTCGGTTACTGGGTATTTTTACCGGACAAGGTGCACAGTGGGTAACGATGGGCGCGCACCTGGTCCGGTCATCAGCCACTGTTCGTGAGAAACTTGAGCGACTCGATCACTCTTTAGCCACTCTACCTGAGCCAGACCGTCCATTATGGCGGATTGCAGACGAGCTTTCGGCAAGTACAAGTGTTAGTCGTCTCGGCGAGGCCGCAATATCGCAGCCACTTTGTACGGCCATTCAACTTCTTCTAGTCGATTTGTTGCGGAGTGCGGGTATAACGTTTGAGGCAGTTGTAGGGCATTCCTCCGGAGAGATTGCAGCGGCGTACGCTGCCGGTTTCATCTCTGCCCATGATGCCATTCGCATTGCTTATTACAGAGGTGTACGTGCTAAACTTGCCAAAGGCTCGAGGGGACAAAAGGGGGCCATGCTGGCCGTCGGGACCTCGTGGGAAGACGCCAACGATCTGATTAAGCTTCCAGCTTTCAAGGGTCGCGTGAAGATTGCTGCCCACAACTCTGCTGCTAGCTTAACGCTTTCTGGTGATGCTGACAGCCTTACTCACGCGAAAAGGATCTTCGACGAAGAAAAGAAGTTCGCCAGGATGCTTCAAGTAGACACTGCATATCACTCTCACCATATGACTCCTTGTAGTAAACCATACATCGAATCTCTACGAAATTGCAAGATCCAAGTCAAACGCGATGGCGACAGGTCTTGCTCCTGGTACTCAAGTGTCAAGCCTGGTATATTGATGGAGCCCGCCGATGAGCTTCGTGACGTGTACTGGAGAGACAATATGGTCAATACAGTTTTTTTCACCGACGCTGTGAAGAGCGCTGTAAGCGAGAAGCTTAACCTCGCCATGGAACTTGGTCCTCATCCAGCCCTCAAGGGTCCGGCATCGCAGATCATCTCGGATAGTCGATCCCCGCTTCCTTACACTGGTGTTTTGAACCGCGGCTGCAACGATGTTGAAGCATTCTCGGATGCACTTGGTTTTGTATGGACTCAGCTTGGCCCGAGTGCAGTTGACTTCCGATCATACAACAAATTAATGTCGCCTAGTCAGTCTCCTCAGCTAGCGGTTGGTCTTCCATCCTACCAATGGAGCCATAAAGGTGCCCAATGGCATGAATCGCGCCTCACAAAGAACATACGACTGAGGGGCACCGCGTTCCATGAGCTTTTAGGTGTACCGACTCCGAATAACACGGACCATAACCTTCGCTTCAGAAATTTTCTGAAAGTGAACGAGATCCCGTGGCTCGATGGACACCAGCTGCAAGGCCAAGTCGTCTTTCCCGCGGCAGGATACGTAGCTATGGCTTTGGCAGCGGGGAAGGAGGTCGCTGGTAGCAGAGACATCGAGATTCTTGAAGTACACGATCTGACCATCGATAAGGCCATTGCTTTTGACGGAGGTGCCAACTTCGCGGTCGAAACACTCACCACCTTGACGGGGATTACGCCAAGCCATCTAAACATGAAGACTCAAAGTGCCGACTTTGCTGTGTTTTCGTGTTGGAATAGTAGGTCTACAACTTTGGAACTAGTGTCGAAGGGAAAAATCACTATCGTTTACGGCACTCCGTCAGTCTCGGTACTATCATCCACGCCAGTCGACGATTTGGACATAATGGACATCGACAGTGATCGCTTCTACTCCTCACTTGACGAACTTGGATACGGGTATAGTGGCCCATTTAGGACTTTGTCTTCTACTAGGAGAAGACTGGACCAGGCATCGGCAATGGTGTCGACTTACGAATACCATGACGACGAAGAAATCTTAATTGTCCACCCAACGATGCTGGACGTTGCCTTCCAGGCTTCCCTCCTCGCGCGGTCGAGTCCTGGCGACGACCAGCTCTGGTCGCTGCATGTCCCCACTTCCATCAAACGCATCCGAGTTAACCCCGAGCTCTGTTCCTCTTTGTCAACATCACCGACCAGATTGCCCGTATCTGCTGTTCTACAGGAGCCGGCTTCTATCTCTATGAACAGTAACGTTGACGTATTCAGCGCAGATGGCCAAGAGACCGTCATCCAAGTCGAAGGCTTGGTCATGAAGCCACTGGCCCCTGCTCTCGCCACCGATGATCGCCCCATGTTCTCCACCACCCAATACGGTGTGACGTCGCCAGTAGGCAATACTGTCGTGGGTAACGACTACCCCTCCGCGGAACAAGCTGAGATCGCTATTCTTTGCGAGAGGTTGGCATGCTGCTATCTCAGACATTGGAGATCGAGGATCACGGAGGAGCATCGGGAGAATAGCAAGAGTCATCACCAGTCTCTGAGAGACTCCACCGACCGCCTACTAGCTGGCATCGATAGCGGGCACCATCCTTATGTACGAAGAGAGTGGGCTGGCGACGATCTTGACCAGATCAAAACCTTGATACGGAAGTATGCTTTAATTGACGTTCATTTTGGGGGCCATATTACTTATTAATTGCCAGATACCCTGAGAATATTGATCTCAAAGTCATCTCAGTCATTGGAGAGAATATTTCTGCCCTAGTACGAGGCCAATCCACTGTCTTGGAGCACATGCTGCAAGAAAACATGCTCGAGGATCTGTTCCATGACGGTCTTGGGTTCGCCCAATGTAATACTTTTTTGGGGCGAATGATGCAGCAAATTCAGCACCGCTACCCACATGCAAGAATCTTAGAAATAGGTAAGACCTGTCGCACAATTGTGGGCATCTCAATGGCGCTGATATACCATGACAAGGCGCTCGAACGGGCCATACTACGAAGGCAGTCTTGGAAGCCATAGGTACTACCTTCTCCTCGTACACTTACACAGACGTATCGGCGGATGTCTTCGAACAGGCCGCACAGCGATTCGAGGCACACAGTCAGAGGATGAATTACAAGATTTTCGACGTCGACCAGGCGCCATCATTCCAAGGTTTCGAAGAACATTCGTACGAGGTAGTCATTATATCTCCCACTTTGCATACGTCCTCATGGCTCCAGAAGACTCTAGGAAACGTTCGTCGCCTCCTGAAGCCAGGTGGCTATCTCTTAGTATCTGAAATCACTACCAAGAGGCCGGTCAGAATTCAAATAATGATGGGAGGACTGTCAGGACCGTGGACTGACGTCGACAACGGCCAGAACTATAGTCGCACAGAGCCACTTAAAACCTGGCACAATGTTCTGCGTAAAACGGGATTCTCGGGTGTGGACACAACTACATCGGAAGTCGACGGACTAGCATGGCCATTTTCTGTCATTGTCAGCCAAGCCGTCGACGAACGAATAGACTTCTTGCGAAAGCCACTCTCGTCTTCCTCATCTGTACGTTTGGACGAGTTGGTCATCCTTGGAAGCTGTTCACTAAAGACTTCTCGCCTTGCGGAAGAGATATGTGAGCTTGCCGGGAGATTTTGCGGCCGCGTCACTGTTCTCGAAGGTCTACCGACTGATGATGATGAGATTTCTCCAATGGCGACGTTCATCAACTTGGTTGACATTGACGAGCCCATCTTTAAAAACGTTACGGAGGAGAAGATGGAGGGCCTGAAGTGTCTTTTCGAGCTCTCAAAGAATATTCTTTGGGTCACTGAAGGCGCTAGGGGGTATCAGCCGTACCACAACGCTAGCATTGGCTTTGGTCGTTCCATTGCCTATGAAATTCCACACGTATCACTACAATTCCTCGACTTGACAGACGTTGGTCCTGATGCCTCTCGTCTCATAGCTGAGAGTGTCTTGCGTGTTCTTGCAATGGATGGATGGGACAACCAAAATACTGCGCTGGGTGGAATGATGTGGTCAAAAGAGCCAGAGCTCTATCTAGAAGATGGGCAACTCTTGGTGCCTCGAATAATTCCCAATGATGAACAGAATGCTAGAATCAACTCTTTGAGACGTTCAGTCACGCAAAATGTGAGCGCCCGAGGCACTACGGTTTTGATCTCCGAGGCTACGGAAACAACACCTGTCTTGCATGAAGAACCAGTACCACGGCGTCTTGGAGATAAGAGGAACTCGGTACAAGTCAACTACTCGATTCTATCCGCATTGAATGTCGCTCCGCTGACCTTTTTGTTCTTTGGTATTGGCACCGATGAGAAAACTGGCGATACTGTTGTCACTCTTTCCGACACCAATTCCTCAAAAGTTATCAGTTCAATATGTGTGTCCACAAATGTCCCCTCATGCCACGAATCTGCATTTCTCGCTGCAACTGCGAGTGAGTTCTTCGCGGGATCATTGATCTCTAAAATGCCGAAAAATTGCCATGTGCTTGTACACGAACCTGGTCAGGACGGGTTTCTCGCCTCGGCATTGACGAGGCTAGGCACTGCCAGGAATATACGCATCAAGTTCAGCACGTCAAAATCCGATACGGAGGACCCGGCGTGGATAAAGTTGAATCCTTGGGCTTCCGAGACAATTGTGAAAAACTCGATCCCACTGAATTTGACGCATTTTTTCGATCTCGCAGCCGATGATGAAGGGAAAGTTGCGAGTCTCAGAGTTCGAGAATGTCTGCCTTCCGGGTGTAGACTGATCGACGCCTCCGATCTGTACCGTTCCCAATCCTTGCCACCAATAAGCGACGACTGCGCTATCCTCAAAGCTCTCGAGTACGCTGTGAGTCATGCGACATCGGCTCCTTTCAACAAGAAGACAAGCGCTACAATCTGGGCCGGCCAGATCGCTGACGCACCTTTGAGAATGTACCCAACAAGTGTCATTGACTGGACATTGGATAAAACCCTCACGGTCCAGGTACATTCCATCAACCCCAATCGTCTGTTTTCCAAGGACAGGACTTATCTTCTGGTTGGTCTCTCTGGGCAGCTCGGCCGGTCCATTAGCGAATGGATGTCACGAAATGGAGCAGGATACATATGCTTGACAAGTCGAAATCCTGGATCGTACGAGAAATGGCAGACCTCGATGGAAAAAGCTGGCACGACGGTCAAGTTCTTTGCAATGTGAGAGACTGAGCGTGGTCCAGAGGACGTAAAATGCAACACTAACGGGATGCAGGGATATCACGAAGAACGATGAGCTGAGAAAAGTCGTAGACGAGATCAAGAACACAGGTCCGCCCATCGCCGGTGTCGCAAACGGCGCTGCGTTATTTGACGATTCACTCTTCTCGGAAATGTCGCTAGAAAAGATGGAGAAGGTCATAAAGCCCAAGATCGACGGAACGAATTATCTCAACGAGATCTTCAGCGACAATAAGCTGGATTTCTTCATCGTTTTCTCATCCCTTACGTCCGTCATAGGCAACAGTGGGCAGTCCAATTATACCGCAGCGAATGCCTACATGACCAGCCTTATGAAACAGCGAAGGAAACGTGGCTTGGCCGGCACGTCCCTTGAAATTGGCCGTATTGCCGGTATCGGATACATGGAGCGGGCAGGTGACTTGGCCAGGGAGCAATTGATCAGGTTTGGATTTATGACGATCTCTGAGACTGACTTCCATCACTTGATTGCTGAAGCGATTCGAGCTGGTTCCCCTGACTTGGGAGCTGTGCCGATCGTTACCGCCGGCTGCCGCAATACACAAGATAATGAAGAGTCCAAGGTCGCCTGGTTCGACGATCCTCGTTTCTCTCACAAAGTTCTTCAAGCACAGATGAATGAGTCCAAGAGCGATGGCATGAAGAACGTTCTGCCTGTTTGTGACCAGCTTGCTGATTCCACTACCATAGAGAAAGCTCTAGAGGTACTGAGAGGTACGATGATAGATGCACAAGTATCGAGAGGGAAGATGCTAATTGAGACTCAGATTGCTTCGCTGCCAAAGTGGCAGCGATTTTGCAACTTGTCAAAGAGCAAGTGGGCCACGAAATCCCACTTGTCGAGCTTGGCATCGATTCCTTGGCTGCCATCGAAGTCCGTAGCTGGTTTCTAAAAGAAATCAAAACGGATATACCAGTCCTTAAAATTCTCAGAGGTGGCACCGTGGCGGAGCTGTGTGAAGAAGCAATGGAGAAGTTGCCGGAAAGCCTGCTCCCAAACATAGGATCCCAAAAGTCTTCGAATCCAAAGACAGCGGTGCCACCACCAAAGCCGGCTCGCATGGCAGCCGCCCCGAGTGAAAGCTGCACTGTCCCACTTAGCATCACGTCGTCGGGGAGTCAATCCCTTGAGGATGCCCCTACAGCGGTACGCTCAACATCATCCTCGACAGTCAACCTTAAAGGAGCTGCTGAAAAGGCGTCAAAATGGACAGAGATTGATTACAAAACCCAGTCGGACTATGTCAAGAGCGAGCTCGTCTCTTTTGCCCAATCTCGCTTCTGGTTCTTGAGGCTTCTAGTTGAAGATCAAACAACATTTAATGTCTCATTCTATTACCGTATTACCGGCAACCTGCGCATTGCAGACTTGGAAAGAGCAGTTCGTCTCGTCACTACCAGGCACGAGTCGCTCCGGACTTGCTTTGTGGCCGACGAGAAGGAACCAGATTTAGCTCATCAGAAGATCTTGCCTAGCTCTCTCATACGACTGGAGCGAAAGAGCATCAGCAGCATTGAGGAACTTCACATAGAATATACGGCCATGAAAGCAATTCCGTTCGATATCGCAAGTGGCAAATTGATGCGCTTGAATCTGCTCACGCGTTCCCTATCTGAGCATTATCTCCTCTTCAACTATCACCATATTTTGATGGATGGTGTTAGCCTTCAGGTTTTTTTGACTGATCTAAGGAATGCTTATCAGCGACAGTCTCTCGGCGTTCCACCCTGCCAGCTCTCCGACGTTTCGAGGGACCAACGCGCAGCCGTCGAGAGTGGTAGTATGGACGATCAGATTGCATACTGGCGAAACGAATTCCCGGAAGGCCCTCCCGTATTACCGCTGCTTCCCATGGCAAAGGTCAGCTCTCGCATGCCAATGAAGGCCTTCAACGTCAACCAGGTTGAATGCAGAATTGACGCTGAACTGGCGGGACGAGTCAAGGCAATGTCCAATACCCATCGATCCACGACTTTCCATTTCTACCTGGCGGCTTTCAAAGCAATGCTTTTCCGCTTTACGGATGCCCAGGAATTGACGATCGGTATTGCTGATGCCAATAGAAACGACGGAGATGTCACGAGAACTGTCGGGCTTCTGCTCAACCTTCTCACATTGCGCTTCAAGTATAAAACGAGTCAACGATTTAGCGACTGTGTCGCTGAGGCTCGAACGAAAGTTTATGAAGCGCTCGACAACTCAAGGGTGCCTTTCGACGTCCTCCTCAAAGAACTTAATGTGCCTCGATCTTCTTCGTACAGTCCCTTTTTCCAGGCTTTCTTCGACTATCGTCAAGGCCAGCAGGAGAAGCTTCCGTTTGGCAACACTACATTTGAGTTTCTGGAACTTTATCCGGGGCGCACTGCGTACGATTTGACGCTCGATATAACAGACAGCCCCGATAGCGCTCTCATATTGTTCAGAACCCAGGCGAGTCTTTATGATATGGCAGCTACGCGATTGCTGCTTAATACATACGTTCATCTGCTCGAAGTCTTCACTAATGATACCTCTTTACTATTGCGGGAACCTCCGTTGTTCAGCCAAAAGCAACTCGAATGCTCTCTCGATATTGGCCGTGGTAAGACAAACGCGAGAGTACCGATGTTCTTCAGATAAACTGATTGATGGTGACTTCCAGGACCAGATCTTCAATCTTCCTGGCCTGAAACACTTCCTCATCGGATTGACATGATTGCTCAGGGGAACAAGGACAAAGTCGCTCTAAACGATGGCCATGGCAGATCCTTCACTTACGCGAGCATGACTGACCGGATCGAGGCTATCGCGGAGATAATGCAGAAGGCTGACATTTGTGAAGGTTCTCGAGTTCTTGTCTTCCAAGATGCAAGCGTAGACTGGCCTTGTTCGATGCTTGCAATTATGCGTCTCGGGGGAGTTTATATCCCACTAGACCTTCGAAATCCGTTGCCACGTCTAGCCGATATCGCTGCAAGCTGTCAGCCGGCGGTAATCCTAGTAGACAATAGCACTATCGATAATGCGCCCCAGGTAAACATCTCAGGCGCCGAAGTTATCAACGTATCCAGCGTTAGTTTCAAACCTTCCGCTCGTGTGCCCAATTCTGCGCGTGCAGGCTCCGTAGGTGCGATTTTATACACCAGTGGCTCGACGGGCAACCCCAAGGGCATCATTATCAGACATTCGGGACTCCGCAACGAAATTGAAGGCTACACGAAACAATGGGGGCTCAAAGCTGAGCGAGTGCTCCAGCAAAGCGCTTTCACTTTCAATCACTATTCTGATCAAATATATACTGGGTTAGTAAACGGCGGCTCTGTTTATATCGTTCCATGGAGTAAGCGCGGAGATCCCATTGAGGTCAGCAAAATCATACGGGAAGAAGGTATTACGTACACGAAAGCCACGCCGACAGAATACTCTCTATGGCTAGACTACGGACGCTCCAACCTTCAGAAGGCCTCCAAATGGCGCTTTGCCTTCGGAGGGGGCGAGCCACTCACAAGCACGCTAACGAAGAACCTCGCTACGCTAGATTTGCCGCTACTCCGCTTCTTCAACTCATACGGTCCAACCGAAATCTCCATTTCTTCGACCAAGATGGAAATTCCATACCGTGAAGAGCCTCAGGGTCGTATCCCCTGTGGATATTCCTTGCCCAATTATGTAGCGTATATCTTGGACGAGCAGCGAAAGCCAGTGCCTGTCGGAATGCCTGGCGAACTCTGGATCGGTGGCGCCGGCGTTTCTCTAGGCTACCTAGACAACAAGGAACTCACCGATTATCACTTTGTTCACAATCCGTATGCGACGCCTGAGTACACTGCGCAGGGATGGACTACCATGTACCGTACAAGCGATATAGCGCACCTGCAAGACGATGGAGCGATGGTGTTCCATAGCCGTGTAGAAGGTGACACCCAAGTCAAGATCCGAGGTTTACGAATCGAACTTGGCGATATTGAGAGTAGTATTATTAAAGCCTCTGATGGCGTTGTCAAACAGGCGGCGGTCACCCTACGCGACGGCGATCCCCAATTCCTGGTGGCGCACGTCGTACTTGCGCTGGAGCAGAGTATGACCAACGCCGACAATTTCCTAAGAAATCTTTTAAATCGTCTTCAGCTCCCACAGTATATGGTTCCTGTCTTAGCGATCTCGCTTGACCGTATGCCACTCAACAACCATTCCAAGGTGGATCGGAAAGCGCTCAAGGCTCTGCCTCTTCCACAGCTCACCGAGTCCGATGAGGAGAGCGGAGAGCTCTCGGAGACTATGCTACGCCTCATACAAACATGGGAAAGTGTTTTGAGCACCAAGGAATTAGGTCTCAGAATTACTCCCTCAACTGGCTTCTTCGCCATCGGCGGTAACTCTTTACTTGTCGTACGGCTGCAGTCTCGTATTCGCGAGATCTTCAATGTGACTGTGCGACTGGTCGACCTCCTCGAAGCCAAATCACTTGGCGAGATGGCTCGGCAGATCGAGGAGAGCACGAGTGTCAACCCAATCGATTGGGAGGAGGAAACTACCCTGCCCGATTTGAGCTTTTTAGGATCTATTCTTCGTCAACCGCTTAAGGTCACCGGGAAAATCGTCCTTGTCACCGGCGCGGGCGGGTTCCTAGGAAAGACCATCCTGGCGCAGCTTATCGAAAGTTCAGACATCGACAGAATCCACTGCGTCGGTCTACGAGACAAATCCGCAGAACCGCCTCGCAAGCTGGCTGTGTCATCGTCACCAAAGATCATTGTGCATAAGGGCGATCTCTCCGAACCCTGGCTTGGTCTTTCGGAGTCTGACTTCTGGGCGATTTCCAGCGAGGTGGATTCGATCCTACATATGGGCGCCATCCGTTCGTTCTGGGATAACTACCACCTTCTTCGCCCGAACAACGTCACACCGACCAAACAGCTAGTCAGGATGGCGGCTGCCCGTCGTATCCCAATCCATTACACGTCTACTGCCGGCGTAGTGCCGGGAGACAGCGCTGGCAGTGTGGCGGCTTCGGTTGCAGAGCATCGGCCTCCGACGGACGGCTTGAATGGGTACGTCGCGACTCGATGGGCTTCTGAGCAGGTGCTCGAGCGCGCTGCTTCGACGTTGGGAGTGCCTGTTTCGATTCATCGGTTCGTGTCGGCCAAGGAGCCGTTGGCAGGAGCGACGATACCGGCACTGGAGCATTTTGTAGGTTTCGTGGATCAGATGTCCACGATGCCCGAGTTCGACGGAACGAAGGGCCAATTCGAAATGATTCCCGTAGACGAGGCTGCCGGTAGGCTCGCCGAGGCGCTGATTGACGGACCGGCTGGCGAGAGTAAAGCGGCGCGTTTCTACCACCATCAGTGCGAAGTCCGCATCGACATCTCGGAAATGATGGCGTTTATAGAGAATAGGAGGGGGAATAAGGGCCTGGAGACGATGCCGGGGTTGAAGTTCATTGGCCGGATGAAGGCGCTCGGGCTGAGGTACTTCGTGACGTCGCAGGTGCTGGTGATGGAGAGCACGACGAACGAGGGTAAGACTGAGGTGTTGGAATCAAGGAGATGAAGGCTTGGGGATAGATCAAATAGGCGATATGCCATCCACGGCCATGAAACAAAGTAGTAAAGATAGTAGATTCACCGGTTTATTCGTGACGCTTATGCTCCCCCCCAGCCATACTACTATCGTCACTACCACCACTTATCCCGCCTTCCGAAAATTGGGATGTGCAAATTAAATAAGAATACTTGGCAAAAACCATCGAGCAACACCTCCGATTTTTTGTTAGCGCCTTTCATACAAATTTTGTAGAGAACGTACTTATCGGTTATTATAATATTATATCTCTTAAAGACCGTCTACTATTCTAATTAGACATTCATAATACTCAGACTAGTAGATATATACGCTTTTTCTAATATTTTATTACTAATTATAACGTGTAGTAGTTACTTCGCTATTCCTTACTCGCGACGTAATATTATTATTTAAAAAGAATTCCTCTATACGTGAGCGTATTTAACTTCTACTCGAATCTTATTAATAATCTAACGTAGTAGCTACGAATACTCGTTTTAGTATAATAATAGCGTATTAATAAGAGCGAAATCTTACTATTTATAACGATATTATAATCTCTTATTAGTTATATATTTATATATAAGAACGAAGTTATAGTCTCTTATCTACTATTAAAGAGATCTTACTTAAATAAAAAAGTTATTCTATATATCGATAATATATACCTATTATTTTTTAATTAGGACTATTCGACTATCGAGCGAACTTTAATAAGCGATATTTGAATTTCTTACGCTTTAATAATTATAGAACTAAATTTAGAAATTCTTTTTTTTATCTAAAAGCCTATATTTCGTTCTATAATTTAAAAAAAAAATCTTCAAAATTTAATAGAAAATAAAAAAGTTATTCTATATATTAATAATATATACCTATTTTTTTAATAAGAGAGCTTAAGAGAGCTGAAGATTTCGATGATTGCGGACGCTAATTTATTTACTCGCGGTGACTTAGCCGATCTAGCCAAAAGGCGTAATAACCTCGAATTTATAATTAACTACATATACAAATTCAAGATTTTCTAATTCAGCCCTACTTTATTCTTTTATATATACTGATATTAGCGTTAGAAATTATAACTTTATTAAGATAAGCTCGCTCGTTTTCTATAGAAAGTATAGAGAAAATAAACTATATATAGTTATAAATAATATATGTGTAATATAATATAAATTAATAAAAATCTATATAAAAAGAAATAATATATATAGAGCCCGCGTCGACTATAGGATTAATATTAAGTAAGAGTTTATGCTAAGATAAGAAGTTATAGTAGAAATCGTAATAGAAAGAATAAGATATTTAAATTTATCGATCGATTATATTAAGAATCTTAAAAATCGTTATAATTAGTTAAAAGAGTAATTAAAGAATAGACTTATAAAGTAAGAAACTCCGCGTTATATAATAGACGTTTACGAATTAAATTAAAACGAAGTAGTTAATCTTTATTAACGAGTTATTATTTAAGTTATAAACGATATAGCGATTTATAATATATACTCTTATCGATAATTTTACTCGATATTATAATAATATAAGAAGAGATAATACTTATAATATTTTATTCATATATATTATCGCTAACTATCTATTCTATATTTAAATTAAGAAGAATTATTATAGTAAGAAAGATATTCTTAATTAACTAATCGATTAACTATTATTACTTTATAACGAGTATTTCGAGAAGCGTAGTATTATTATTCTAAATAACGTTAGTATTTATATCGACTTACGTATTATTAAGACTATTTATATTAAAGATTATCTTATTAAATATTTATCTTCTTACTTATTTAATTATAATTTAATTAAACTAACGTTTAGTATTCTAAAGACGTAGATACGACGTTATTTCGAGATCTTTTAATATATCTTTTAAAACGATTTTAAAGGCTTTTTATAATATATAATCGAGATTAGCGACTATAATAGATTTATCGTAGAGTATTTTAGATATAATACTATAGACTATATATTTAAAGATAAAATAGAGATCTTTAAACGAGATTTAAAGCGATAAACTATAAAGATAATAAAGTAGATATTACGAAATATTATAAAATATTTATCAAAATTCTTTATCTTCTCTATAATCTCTCTAACGTTTCTTATTTAATTATTTTAAAATATAAATTAATTTATAGATATTTCTTTAAAGAACTTTAAACTTCTAAAGATTTACTTTTAAATCTCGAATAATATTATTAAATAGACTTAGCGAAGTAATAAGATATTCTTATTATCTTAATAAAAAAATATTATCTCGACTTTATTTTACTTCGTTAAAATCTTAACTTAAAGCGAGATAGTATTAGATATCTAAAACTTCACTTTATTTCGCTTCATTACGCAGCGTAATAATAATTTAACTTATATTTTTATATTACTTTTTTTATTAATTAATTTATAATTTATTTAACTTTAAAATAAATTGTTACGGATTTAGTGTGCTTTAGGGGATTCTTGCCGTTCAGGTAGGGGTCCACGCTCTTTTGGCGCTACGGTTAGCGATAAGGCACGTTTTCCGTGACAAATGGTAGCAACACCGGTTCGATTCCGGGTGTGACCCGGACAGTCTGAATAGGTCACTTGGCACTCGGGTTCGGTGAGGATTTGGTGGGGACTCATAATCCTCGTGCCTTTCCTTCCCTATAGTAATTACACCAGGCCTTCAAGTGGCTTACGGGGTCATACCCGGGGGGTTCCTAAATACGATATGCGTGTAGGCCAGCGCATGGGGACATGCGCCATTTTTCGAAGTGTGCAATTGTTACGGATTTAGTGTGCTTTAGGGGATTCTTACCGTTCAGATAGGGGTCCACGCTCTTTTGGCGCTACGGTTAGCGATAAGATACGTTTTCCGTAACATAAATAGTATATAAGTAAAATCTATATCTAGATTCTTAATTCTAAATCTTTAATAATTAAATACTAAACGCGTTTAAAATCTATATTACGTTTATATAATATTATTAAATTTAAACGAAGATCTATAGAATTATTTTAATCGTTAGATAATTCTTCTTAATCTTTTAATAGTTCTCTCTAATTATTCGATAATATTATCTAGCTATTTAATAATTCGCTTAGACTATTTAATAGTCTTATCTAGTTATTTAACGATTCGCTCTAACTATTCGATAATCTTATCTAGCTATTTAATAATTTACTTTAACTATTTAATAATCTTATCTAATTATTTAACGATTCGCTTTAACTATTTAATAATTTTATCTAATTATTAAATAATTTATATTTATTAAAATACTTCGATAGTTAACTTATATCTTTATACTCTTAAGTTTATATTAAAAATAAATCTTATTTTTTATAAAATTTCTTTATTATTTTAGAGAAAAACTTAAAAAGAGTAATTAAATTAGCTTTAAGATTAAGATCGATTATCTCTTTATAGTTTTTTAATATCTTATTTATCTCTCGATAATAATACTAAAGATAACGCTAAAGAAATTTATTATAATCGCTAGAATAGTTATTTTTACTATTTATCTTTTCGATATCGTTATTAAATCGTTTAAATAATATAAATACTTAAACGTTATTAAGCTCGATTTAAAATTAATAAATAATTCTCTAAATAAATAATATATTTATATATCTTTTATATATTACTTCTAATTTTCTTTCTATTATTAAATCTAGTATATCTTTAAAAATAATAAACTTCTCTTAAGCTTTATTTAATATTATAAGATTATTAATTTCTTAGCGTATAAATAGACTTTTAGAATTAATTTTACTACGCTCGATTTACTTTTTATCTTTATTTATTATTAATCTATTTATTTAAATAACTTATCTAAATATAGAGTTTATAGATTTATAGTATTTCGATATAAATAATTATATAATATTTCGAGAACGTCTTCTTAAATATCTCTTTTAAGCTATTAATAAGAATTCGAGTAATTTAACTTCGTTATTCTTCTAAAGTTATATTATTCTTAATAAACGAATTAAGAGAGATTTATAATATTAGCTTAAAAGATCTTAGCTTTTATCTTATAGAGATTTCTCTATTAAAACTATTATTAAAAGTATAATTAACTTCTTTATTTATCTATTAACTTCTTTTATTATTATTATTTAAATTTTCGTTAAGAGTTAAAGCGAAGATAGAGAGTAAATTTAAATATATAATAATTTAATTATTAAATAATATAGAGGAGCTTATAATCTTATAAGTCGACGTATATAATAGAATAATATAATATAATTATTATTATTTAATAATACTCTAATCTTATCTATATTTATATAATTTAATAAATTATTTTAAATATTTATAGAATATTTAGAAACTATTAAGATCGCTTTATTAAAAATATTTATATAATTAACTATTATTATTATAGATATCTTATATCTTAAAACTAGCTTTTTAATATAAATATTTATTTTTAACTATTTAATATTTAGTTATAAATTAATCTCTAAATTCTCTAAATAATAAATTCGCGAGGTTTATTAATATTGGCTTACGAGATTTATTAATATTAGCTTAAGATTAAAAATAGCGCTTTATCTCTAAAAAGTTTATTAAAACTATTTTAATATTAAGTTTTATTAATTAATTATACTTTCTCTTTTAAAAGAGAAATATTTAATATTAAATAAATAGAATATTAAAAAATTATAAATAATTTATAGAAGCGAAGTATTATTTTTATAATATTTATAAATATCGAAGATAATATAAAATTTATAATATTTATAAATATCGAAGATAATATAAAATTTAATATAATTTTAAGATTAATATCTTATTCTATCTTAATTCTCTAATATAAGATTCTAAATCTAATTCTAAGATTTTATATATCTCTCTATAATAGATTAATCGAAGATTAAAAAGAAAGAGATATAAGTTTAAAATAATATTAAAAAAAGAAATAATTAAAACGTTAACTTCGCTAAAGCGCTATAATCTTTTTAACTTATATTATAATATCTAATCT